GGCCCCACATCGCCCCAAGACGGCTCAAGATGCACTCAAGATTGCCAAAGAGGGCTCAGAGAGACCCACCCCCAGGAGGACGAAAAGAGGCCCCCAAGCGGCCCCCGAGAGGCCTTGGATGCTTCTCTCTTGGGGAGCGTCGAACTTCCAGCATCGTTTCGGAGGCTTCTTGGACCCTCTTGGAGCCATCTCTGCGCTATTTGGGGACCTCTTGGGGAGGGGCGCTCGAAAAGTCGATTCGTGTCCTCGCACTGGGGCCCTTCTTAGGGAGTTCCGTCTCGCCGCCCTCTTGCGGGCCTCCTAGGCCGCGCCCACTGGCCCCATTGCCACCACACTGCCAGATGAAATGACCATTCGGCCCCAGCGAAGAGCAGATAAACTTCTCACGGCTGCCTTCCCCGCAGAAGCTATGATGAACACAGACTGCGGCGTCAGAAACAGCTTCTGTCCACACCATGTCATGCCTACGTGGGTGTGCTTCCACTGACACCGCCTCCACCACCGCGTTCCTGCCTTCAGGCCTACTTGCCTGCATCCCTCGCCTACCTTCCCCTCCAGCGGCCACCTCCTCCATCCACGCCGTCCCGTCCAACCTCCCCTTACCCGCGAGGCCACAGAGACGCTCCACTTCCACGTCCACGCCAGGGCGGGCAAATTCCGCGGCCGGAGGCCGTGGGTCAGCCCTAATCAGCTATAATGCTGGGATCAGCGCGTGCGAGAAGGGCGAGCAGTGGCAGCGGGCTTTAGCTCTGCTGAGCGAGATGTGTGAGGCGAAGCTGGAGCCCGACGTCATCAGTTACAGCGCTGGGATCAGCGCGTGCGAGAAGGGCGAGCAGTGGCAGCGAGCTTTGGCGCTGCTGAGCGAGATGCAGGAGTTGAATCTGGAGTCCAACGCCATTTCTTTTACAATGAAGGCGCCCGCGCGTGCCAGAAGATCCTGTGGATCAAGTGTCCTTTTTCGGCTCTTCCTGGCCCCGCGACGCTCTGCGACGGTTCTGCGACGCCCCCGTGGCCGTTCTTCGGTTCCTCCTGGCCCCAAAATGGCCAAATGCGATTTCAGACGGTCCCAGGATGGCGTCAAAGACCGTCCCGAGGGCGCCCCGAGACGCCCAAGATAACCTCAAGGCGGCCCGAGAGGCCCCCAAGACGCCCCAAGAGGGCTCTGAGAGGACCCCCACGAGGGCCCCAAGAAGTAAAATGTCTCCCAATCCTTCGGAAAACGTCTGTCGTTAGCATTATTTTTCCCCGCCTTCACAGTGTCCACGACGGCAGTACAGTTCCTTCAGACTGCCCCGAAAAGCCCCAAGAGGCTCCCGAGAGGGGCTCCAAGACGACCCAAGAAGACCCCAGGACGGTCCAAAAGGCACCCATGACGGCCCAAGAGGCGCCCAAGACAGCCCAAGAGGGCCCCGAGAGGCCTACAAGACGCCGAACAGAAGCCCCAAGAGGATCCCAAACGGTCCCGGAGATGCCCCGAGAGGCTTCAAAATTGGCTCTTATACGGCTTACCGCACGCCCAGACACATGTTTTTCACGCTCCGAAGGCCCTGGATGCTTGTCTTTTGGGGCACTTGCGAGGCGCGCCCCTCCGCGGGGATGACAGACGTCGCGGCCCACGACGGTCCCGTCCCTCGTGCTATCGTGCCCTGCACTGCGGCCGCTCAGAGGCGGCTCAGACGCCCAGGTGCACGAGAGGTCCGACGATTGGACGCTGGAGCAACTCTCTTTCTGGTTTACTTGGGCTACGCCCAGGCGCCGCATTATTTCTCTCTTACATCGCTTCTCTCTTCCGCCCATGCCTTCCATCCATACCCCTCTCCGCGCACATGCTCCTGCAGCCACCGTCGCCGTCGCCGCCGCCGCCGTCGTCGCCATCAGCTACAATGCTGGGATCAGCGCGTGCGGGAATGGCGAGCAGTGGCAGTGGGCGCTGGCGCTGCTGACCGCGATGCGGGAGGCGAAGCTGGAGCCCAACGTCATCAGCTGGGCCCCACGACGGCCCAAGAGATCACAGGAGAGGGACCCCAGACAGGCCCACGAGGCCCCATGATGCACAAGGGCCCCGAAGACGGCCCCGATAGGGCCCAAGAGAGCCCGAAGATGGACCTGGAGGGCCCAAGGGGGCCCCCAAGAGACCCCAAGCTTGCCCCAGGATGGCCCCCCGGAGGGGGGCCGGACGGACGGCGCCTAGAATAGCCCCAGACGGCTCGAGGCCCATCCCAGACAAGACGGTCCCCGTGCTTCGGCTGACTACCCCATGACGGCCCCAAACGGCCCCATGACTGCCCAAGAGAGGCCCCAGACAGCCACATAGAACCCCCGTTGGCCCCTACGACAGTCCGATGGAGTCCCAGGAGCCACCGAAGAGGCCCCAGAGAGAGCTCCAGCATGGCCCGAGACCCCGACCATGGCCCCAGGACGGCCCCAGAGCCCCCTGGACCGCCCAAGAGATCCCCAAAGTCAGCCCAGAGGGCCCCGAGGAGCTCCAGTGAGACCCCCAGGAGAGCTCCAACGGAGCCCAGACCACAGGTTTCCCACAGCCCCCACAGCCCCAGAGAGCTCCCCAGTGGCCCAAGAGGGCCCCGACGGGCTCGAGAAAGACCCCCTCGGAGGGCTCCAACGGACCCCACAAGGCGGCCTGCTCGCAGCGACCACCGGGCCCTGAACCCTCCAAGCGCCACTCCCGGATGCCCCAGCGTCTCTGAGGAGACTCCGACAGTTACCTCATGGCACCCACGGAGAGCGCCTCCAGCCACGGCGCCCTTCCTGCAGCTTCCCAAGCCCCAGACGGACGTCGCCACGAAAGCCCCTGACCCCAAGGCGGGCCCCAGGCCGCTCCAAGTTACATCCCAGACTCCCAGGAGCCTCCGGCAGTTCCCACGCAGCTCCCAAGAGCACTCCCGAGACCACTCCGACATGCCCCAGGGTCCCCCACACGACTCCGACACTTGCCCACGGACGGCTCCGGAGCAGTCCCAGGAAGAGATCGCCACTGCTCCCACGGAGCTCCCAAAAGCGATCCCCGAGGCGCGCCGTAGCCGTCCACGCGGCTCCGCCCCACGAGTTCGAGGCTGACACCTTCACCAGCCGGCCGTGGACTTTCCACGGGTTCACACCAGTCTCTCCTGCATGGCCGGGGCAATATCGGTGGTAGACAGAACCCCCAACAGTGACACGTCGATTAGTGAATTGTCCGTTTTCGGTTCTCAAGATGGCTCCGTGGCCGTTATTTTCCAGGCTTGCGCCCGCCAGGTTTGGGCCCGAAGTCGTTTTCACTAAACCACGTTTTACTAAAGGGAGGTCTGTCCATCTCCGGTAAGCGCGTGCGGGAAGGGGAACGGATCGAGTATCTCCAAGATCGGCCTCGGCGGGCCCCTGGCGCGGCCTGCGCGGGCCCCTGGCGCCCCCGGCGCGGCCCGGCGTGCCTCCGGGCGGCTCGAGCACGCTTCGGGACGCCTGCAGGGAGCGCCGAGATCGGGCCGAGAGCCCCAGCGTGGCCCCGGGACAGTCCCAGATGCCGTCCAGACGGCTCGCGGCGGCCAGAAATCATTCCTTGACTGTTCTATCGGTTTTTGCCTGACTTTCAGGTTCTCGCGATCTCGAGCTCGGAGCGGCCCAAGACGGCTCCTGGGCCCCCCACGAACGCTCCAAGGCTCAAGAGACTCCGGCAATGGCCCCAAGACGGCTCCCGGAGGAGCCCAAAGCGGCCCAAGAGAGACCCAAGACCGCGCGAGAGAGCCCCCAGGAGCCAGACGGGCCCCGAGTGCCGTCCAAGAGGGCTCACGGAGAGCTCCGAGACGGCCCAGCACCCCCAGTATGGCCCCTACACGGCCCCCCAGAGGCCGTCCAGACCGCGGCAAACGAAATCATTGATTTCCCTATGGTTTTTGAAAGATTTCCACCTTCTCGCCATTTCGAGCCAAGACCGGCCCAAGACGGCTGCTAGGGCTCCCCTGAACGCTCCAAGGCCGTCCAAGAGGATCCGGGAAAGGCCCCACAACCACCCAGGAAGGCTCCAAGATGGCCCAGGAGGCGCCCAGGATAGCCCGAGAGGCCCCTAGACGGCCCCAGAGCAACCCGATACAGCCCCAAGACGGCCGAAAAGACCCTCAAGAGGCCCCCCGAACGGCTTCCAGGAGGCCCCCAGAAAAGGCTCCAAAGCCGCTCTCAAGACACGGGCAGCGGACAAGAGGCGAGAGGCTCATCGCACGCCCGAAGGAGTTGTTTTCCACGTTCCGAGGGCCCTGGCAGACAGGAACAACTCGCAGGACCTGCAAGCAAACATCGAGCAAACATCACGCGAACGGCAAGACGGTGCAAACTAAACAAATCGCGCGTGCATTGGCAATGAAACGGCAGCAAGCAACCGAGCGCAACAAGCGACAGCAGACACACGCTGACATCCTTGCTTTCGTGGACAGGGCCTAAAGGTCAGCCCTCGACACACTGCAACCATTTCAAATTGCCCCAAGACGCCCCAAAGGCCTTCCAAGACGGCCCCAAGACGCCCCAAGCCGGCCCCAGAACGGCCCCAACGACGCCCAGACGGCCCAAGAGAACCCCAAGAGAGCCCGAAGAGCGGCCCAAGGGGCCCAAGACGACCCCAAGACTGATCGAGAGGCGCCCGAGAGCGCTGGGACAGCCCAAGAGACCCTCAAGAGGCAAACAGAAGCCCCCAGAGGCCCTGGATGCTTGTGCTCTTAAAAGCATCGTCGTAGAAACGACGACTGGTACGATAGAACATCGAGGGGGAGAAGGGTGGAGGGACGGAGAAAGAGAAGGAGGATCCAGCAGCAGGGAACAGAATCAACGGCGAGCAGCAGCTGCCGCAGCAGCACGCATTGACATCACCAGTACCAAGCAGCATCCTGCAGCAAACAGCAGCAGGCAGGCGGCAGCATCCACCACCCGGCAAAACCTGGCACGTGCACCAGTCCGTAACAAGCCGTTGCCGCAGGCAGCAGCAGAGGAAAGCCCAGGCGAGAGACCGCAAGTGGCAGCAGGCAGCACTCCGCAGCAGCAGGCGGCTGTCAGAGGCACCGGGCAGGTGCGAGCACGCTTGCCCAGACACCGCTCACGACCTCGAGCAGATGTCGTGGAAGCTATGACGAACACAGGGCACGGCGTGAGACACAGCTGCTGTCCACACCGCGTCGTGCCTGCGCGGGTGCGCCTCATGGACACCGCCTCCACCACCGCGTTCCTGCCCTCGGGCCTGCCTGCCTGCATCCCTCGCCCACCTCCCCCTCCAGCGGCCACCTCCTCCATCCACACCGTCCCCTCCAACCCTTCCCCCCCCGCGCGGCCTTGGACACGCTCCACTTCTACGTCCACACCATGGCGGGCAGATTCCGCGGCCAGAATGCCGCAGGTCAGTCCTAGTCTCTCCTACATGGCCAGTGGAAGCGCGTGCGAGAATTGTTCAGGGCCTCGTGTGCGCAAAATCGCCCATTTACGGCGCCACCACGGGGCCGAATCGCTGAGGCCGGTCCCAGGGGCGCTCCAGAGGGGTTCCCAGACCGTCCAAGAGCGCTCCAAGGCGGCCTCAGTGGGTCCCGAGACGGCCCACGAGGGCCCGAAGCCTTCCGGGGGGGGCTCCACGACGATCCAAGAGGCCGCAAAGACGCCCCAAGAGAGCCCCGAGCGCACGCCAAAGAGGCACAAATCGTCAAATTCCGATGGAAAACGTATATTTTCAGCATGCCCGCCTTGTGTGCTCTTCAGCGGCCCAGGACACGCCAAGAGGCCTCCCAAATCGCCCCAAGAAGACGCCAGCTGCCCCTAAGAGGGCTCCAAGACGGCCCACAAGAGCCCCAAGACGACGCCACAGAACCTTGAAATGGCTTCACAGAACCCCAAGACGCCCCCAAGAGAGCTCCGAGGGGGCCCTAAGAGGCTCCCAAGACGGCCTCAGGCAGCTTCAAGAGAGCTCCAAGACGGTCCAAGGCCTCCCGGACGCCCCGTGACGGCCCAAAATGGCCCAAAAAAGCGTCCCAAAACGCTCCCACAGCAGCCCAAAAAATCTTCAGAATGGCCCGAAAAAGGCCCCCACAAGGACCACCAAGCAGGCCCAGAGACGCCCATTAAAAGAGCGATCGGTGAAGTACAAAGCTCTTCTCACCAAGGCTCCCAAGAGCGAGCCGCAGCGTAGAGAGCTCTCCCAGGCGCAGCTCCCACGAGCGAGCGGTGACGTGACCAGCCCTTCACACAGGGGCGCTCAGAAGCGAAGGGCGCCATGAGCCATCTCGGGCCGATTCCTGAATCGCCCAGGAAAGCGCGTGCGGGAAGGGAAATAGTTCGAGTATCTAAAATCGGCCTCGGCGGGCACCTGGCGCGGCCTCAGCGGGCCCCTGGCGCCCCTGGCGTGCCTCCTTGCGGCTCGAGCACGCTTCGGGACGCCTCAGTGAGCGCTGAGATCGGGCCAAGAGCCTCAACATGGCTCCAAGACGGCCCCAGAGGCCGTCCAGACAGCTCGCGGCGGCCAAAAATCATTAATTCTTCTATGGCTTTTGATTGATTCTAAGGTTCTCACGAATTCGAGCCAAGAGTGGGCCAAGATGGCTCTTGGGGCCCCCCCGAACGCTCCAAGGCCTCCCAAGAGCTCCGGCAAGTGCCCCAAGACGGCTCAGGAGGTCTCCTAGACAGCTCCCGGAGGAGCCCAAGACGGCCCAAGCGAGTCCTGAGACGGCGCGAGAGAGCCTCCATGAGTCCGAGCTCCTGAACGGGCCCCAAGAGCCGCCCAAGAGGGCTCTCGGAGAGCTCCGAGACAGCCCAAGAGTCCCACATGGTGCCAAGACGGCCCAAGAGGCCGTCCAGATGGCTCGCGGCGACCAAGAATCATTGATTATTCTATGGTTTTCGCCTGATTTGCAGGCTCTCGAGATTTCGAGTTAAGAGCGGCCCAAGACGGCTCCTGGGCCCCCCACGAATGCTCCAAGGCTCAAGAGGCTCCGGCAAGTGCCCCAAGACGGCCCAGGAGTGCTCCAAGACGGGTTCCCGGAGGATCCCAAAAAGGCCCAAGAGAGACCCAAGACGGCGCGAGAGAGCCCCCAGGAGCCCCCAGACGGGCCCCAAGAGCCGCCAAAGAGGGCTCACAGGGAGCTCTGAAACGGCCCAACACCCACAACATGGCCCCTACACGGCCCCAGAGGCCGTTCAGTCGAGCCGCGGCCCATGGTTCTTGAAAGATTTCCACCTTCTCGCCATTTCGAGCCAAGACCGGCGCAAGGCGGCCACTTCGAGCAAAGAGTGGCCCAAGACGACGTGGACGAAGTCCGCAGGTTCGCCCTCGTCTCTACTACATTGCAGGGCCCAGTGCGTGCCAGAAGGGCGCAGGCTCCAATGAGTCAAAACCGCCCCGGGCTGGCCCCAGGCCGCCCCGGGCCGCCCAGGCAGGCTCCAGGACATGTCGAGAGGGCCCCCAGAAGCCCCCAAGACGGCCCCGGAGAGCCCCGGCACGCTTAAAGATGGGCCCAAGACGCCCGAGATTCGCCCCAGGCGGCCCAAGAGGCGTCCAAGACGCCCGAAGAGGCCTCCAAAGAGGCCTCCCAAGAGGGCCCCGAGCGACAGAAATCGTCGATTTCTATTGTGTTTTTCTATGTTTTCGGCCTCCTCGCCTCTTCGGCTTCCCGACGCTCCAAGACGGCCCAAGAAGTCCCCCCGACCGCTCCAAGACGGCCGAAGAGGACCCCAAGAGAGCCCCAAGACGGGCCAAGAGGGCCCCAAGACGGTCCGAAGACGCCCCAGGACGGCCCCAGGACGGCCCAGAAGGCGCCCCAGACGGCCCAAGAGGCACCCAAGAAGGCCCCAGGAGCGGCCCAAGACGGCCCAAGACAGCCCAAGAGGCGCCGAGGCGGGCCTCAGACGGCCCCAAGACGGCCCAAGAGGCACCCAAGACGGCCCGAGAGGGCCCTAAGAGCCCCCCCGGGAGGCCCAAAAGAAGGCCGAAGAGGTTCCGAAACGGCCCCCACGAAGCCTTCAGTGGCTTCAGAATTCCCTCCAGGAGCGGGGGAGCGGACGAGAGGCGACAGGCATATCGCAGGCAAAAACACCCCAAGAGATCCCCAAACGGCTCCCACGAAGCCCTAAGTGGCCTCAGAATTGCTTCCAGGAGGGGGGGAGCGGACGAGAGGCGACCGGCATCATGATTGCCTTTCGGCCCTGCAGCCGCACCCCCCCCGCGCTTGCCCAGAGACCCCTCGCCACGTCGAGCTGACGTCGTGGACGGAGTCCACAGGTCTGCCCTAGTCAGCTACAGCGCTGGGATCGGCGCGTGCGAGAATGGCGAGCAGTGGCGTCGGGCTGTGGAGCTTCTGAGCGAGCTGCCACCTTTCTTGCATTGCGCGACCCCGTGCGTGCGAAACGTGCTTGGGGACCGAGTTAGGTTTCGCAGCCCCCCGATGGCTCGGGAGACCGAAAAATGCTCCGCCGCTTCCCGAAGGAGCCGCGAGCCTCCCACAGGGCCCAGGGGCGCCCCCAAGACGTTCCCAGATGGCCCTCCCGAATTATTGCAGGACTTCGCGCGGCCCACAAGGCTCCCAAGACGCCCCAACATGACGGACAGGTAACCCCAGGAAGCTCCAACAGGTTTCTGCGCAGGCTCCCCAAGAGAAGGGGACGTGGCCAACAACATTCGGTTGTCATTATGTCCGAATGAACCTTAAGCGTTGGCTTTAAATAGTTTGCTTGCATATGAGTAGGGCAATGTGCGGAAACGTAGGCGGAAGCACGCGTGTGGAGGACACGCTGTGTTCTACGCAATGCTTGTTTTGCAAGCGCTACTATGCAGTGCTATGAGTTGGATCGCGCAAGCTTGGTAAACCCTGAGAGGCAATTAAGACCCCCCCTCTCCGGCGAGAAGTATAACGCTCCAGCACCCTGGAAGCGTTACCCTGGCTTCTCGCAACCTGCTTTGAACGCAGACGAGTATGCCCGCCGAAACAAGCAAACCGCCTGAAACATTCTCGCAATCTGGCCTCCGTGTGGTTGTGAAACAAGCGCCTCGCCTGAGACATCCTCAGAAACTGCTCTGAACGCAGACGAGTCTGCTGGGGTACCGCCCGAGCCAAGGCGCGGGAATTCTTGATGCTCCTTTTTTTTGCGCGGTGCTAAGGATATTGTTCCGCGAAACCCGCCCCCACGAATTATTTAATTTCGGTGCGGTGCTAACGATAACCCCGGGGGGTTCTTCTTACTGAGGTTGTGCAAAGTTCAATATTACTCGGGCGATGCATGGCATGCAACACTGAGGCACACATGGATCAGGATGATATTCGAGACGACGCAGTGCTGCAGCTGGAGTTGGAGCTGGGCTGGAGCTGAAGCTGAAACCGAGTTTGCAGCGTGAGCTGGAGCTGGCATGGAGCTCGCGCTGGGGCTAAGCTGGAACTGGGCTGGAGCTGACCTCCAGCTCGACTGGAGATTGAGCTGAGGCTAGAGCAGGAGCAACTAGCTGGCGCTGGGGCTGGAGCTCGAGCTCGGGCTGGAGCGGAGCTGCAGCTGGAGCCAGAAGCCTCTAGAGGAGGCCCCAGGGTGGCTCCATGAGGGCGCCCTTGAGCGACCCGAGAGAGGAGACTTGGTATACTCGTGTCGAGGATGCTCGGAGATTCGTGTGCGCGTGTTGGCCGATTCTCAAGCCTTCCCCTCATGCTCCCCTCCTCCGGGGAAGGTGTTCATGAAGCTCGGCCGGAACGGCAGGCTCTTCTACCGCCTGTGCACGCTCGACAAGCAGCAGACGGCCTTCTCCATGCACATCAAGGGGGCGATCGTGGAGTACCCGCTGGCCAGCATGGAGCACATCCGGCTCGGCTACGACCTCGCGGACTTCACGCACGTGCCCGTGTCCCTCCCCTCCGACGCCCTGGCCGCCGTGATCGTGATGGACGGTCGCAGCATGAACCTCGTGTTCTCCTCGCCCACCGAGCGCGACGAGTTCGTGACCTGCATGCTCGTGCTGAAGGAGCGCCACCGGCGCACCACCGGCGCTCCGGCGGCGGGCTGACCGCGAGAGAGTGGGGCGCCCGCGCGCCACGGGGGGGGGCGGGGGGAGCGCCGCGGGCGACCCCCGGATGATGCAGGGGCATCGCCACGGTCCTCCCTCTCCTCCTCCTCCTCCTCCTCCTCCTCCTCCTCCTCGTCCTCCTCCTCCTCCTCCTCCTTCTCGTCCTCCTCCTCCTCCTCCTCCTCCTCCTCCTCCTCCTCCGCCTCCTCCTCCTCCTGGGGGCGGGGGACGGGCGCGTGGGCGGGGGGCGGTCTCGAGGCTCGAGGCTCCTCGGTGCCTGCAGGTTTTCCCCGGCCTCCGGAGGCGTTTTCCGGCGGCTGCGCCTCGCCGATATATAAGGCGTTTTTGGGTGTGCCCGGATCTTCCCGCACGGCCGGCGGAGGCCCGCGTCGGGACCCGAAAGCTGGCAGGGAGGGCATGCTCTGCGTGTGATGCACCACCCACCCAAGCCACCCCAGCCCAGCCCGAAGGCCCAAGGCGTCAATTTGCCCTCCAGTTCCAGTGTGGGGGGGTCGGGGAGCACGGCAACAACACATGGAACCCGGACACCCCCCCCCCAACGCGAAATTCGGGTCGAGTTCGGGTCTTCGGTTGGGTTGGGGTGGTCTGGTAGGTCGTCAGCGATAAGGATCAGGAGAGGGAACCAAACACACACAGACAAAATAATTCATCTTCGACTCCCAGGAAATCGCCCCCCGATTCGAAGAAGAAGGAACGGCATGAACACAAACTTTCGGCGTTCCTCGCGGATTTCTTGGATCTGCGCTGGGATCCAAAAGGTCCGCGCGGGGCGCCGAAAATTTATGTGTATGCCGTTTTTTTGTTCGTCCACCAATGCTCATTCATCGCCGACCGGAGCCCGATAATTGGCCCATCCCGCCCAGGAGCGTGCGGATTCGCTGTCGGAGCCTGGCGCCGATCTGTTGGTGTACTGCGGCGGGTCCCCCCCGACGTTCCCCCCATCAGGGGGGGGGCCACGCTGCGCAACGAGGGTGAGCAGCACCTGGCCTCCGGAGGCTGCCCAGGGGAGCCGTCCGGCGCGCCCGTCTCCCGGCGGAGCGGAGCGGCAGCCCCGAGGGCCCCAATTTGCCGGGTACACAGCCGTGACAAAAGTTTCTTCAATTTGCTATGATGAAGATCTCTCCCATCCCTCTCAAGATTCCTAACGTGACATGATGCTGGGTCATTCGGCGGAGTAGTTTCCGATCCTGGAGACATTAATAACTCTGTTACCCCCAAACGGGATCGGAAACTACTCCGCGCCAAACCAGGCAAATTATCGAGCGGGGTGCGATTGCGCGCGGAGTAGTTTTAGTAAAACTAATCCGAGCTACTCCGCACGAGCGCGTCATTCCAAAAGGAAGATTGAAAGAAACTGTCGTCACGGCGATGTATTCCCAGTGTGTGTGTGTGTGTGTGTGTGTGTGTGTGTGGTGTGTGTATGTGTGTGTGGGGGGGGGAGGGCCGTCGGGGAACATTGAAAAACACATGTGGAACCCGTACCCCCCCCCCCCGAACCCGAAGTTTGGGTCTTCGGGTTGGGCTGGGGGTGGCCTGGTAGGGTCGTCAGCGTCCTGTGCACTGGGCCCCCCCCCACGTCCTCTCCCCCGCTGCGGGAGCAGCGCCTCCTCGCAGGCATGGGGCGGGCAGGGACGGAGGGGGCCCACGAGCTGGGGGCGTCAGGAGATGCGCTTCCCCGACCAGCTTCTCAGGGGCTGCGTTAGGGGGGCTGGGGTCATGAGGCTCCCATTTATTTCAGCTCTGACCACCAAAAACAATGTCGAGCACCAAGGAAATACCGAAACTGGGGGGTTTTCGCGTGTCGGGCCCTGGGAGGCGGCACTCCTTTGACACCGTTTCGCTAGTTTCCTGGGTGCTCGACATGGTTTTTGAGATGTGGTCCCCTTGAGCACGATGGGAGCAGCGCAAGGCTTGGGCTCAGGAGGGACGCAACGACCCCCAATCGCCAGCTGATCGCCGATAGGGGCTCGATGGCCCACCCCGCCCAGGTTTGTGCAGGTGCGCCGTCGGGGGCGCAGCGCCGATCTACCGGCGATGCATCGCCGATTCCACGCCGATGCTTCCCGCCCCTCTCAGAGTCTATCCCACCCCACCCACCAAACCACCCCAAACCAACCCGAAGGCCTCAAATTGACCTCCATTTCCAGTGGGGGGGGGGGTCGGGGAACATTGAGAAAACACAGATGGAACCCGTACCCCCCCAACCCGAAATTCGGGTCTTCGGGTTGGGTTGGGGTGGTCTGGTAGGTAGTCAATCCCACCCTAGCGTTGCCCCTCGACTTCTGGGGGCGCAGGGTGGCAGCTTGGAACCATTTCGGGGCCTCTCGAGGGTCACTCGCGCACACCAGCCACAAGCGAGTCGATGCGGAGACCCCGACGTGTGCATACCATTTCCTGGTCCTTCCCGCTGCGAGCGTCTGAGTGAGAGAGTCGCAGCCTGCAGCGATTGAGCACTCCCTGGCGGCTGGCGGCTTCCCCCTTGGCGTGCCCAAATGCTACGCCTGCTACATCGGAACAGTCCTGGGCATCTGAAATGAGAAAGTTCAAACATGCCTCGCTCGAGACATCCCAACAATCTGGCCGCGAACGGGCAAGTGACCCCCTCCCTGGCGGTTCTTCCTTGGGGCGCCCAAGTGCCGCGCCTGCTACATCGCGGTGATCGTGGAGCCCTCTAAAGGGAAGAGTCGTTGGTACAAAACGAGCGTTTCGCCCGAGACGTCCCCTCAATCTGGCCGCGGGCGGGCAAGTGTCTTCCTCGCTGGCGGCTCTTCCTTCGGGTGCCCAAGTGCCACGCCTGCTTCCTCGCGGTGGTCACGAGCGAGTGCAGGCATGTGGAGCGAAAACAAGTGGGTCTGCGCATAGGCGGCGAAGTGTCGGTGTGCCTGAGTGTGGGCCTGGGTCTGAGTGATGGGGGTGATCAATATGCGTGCGCGCGGTCTGTGCGTTCGAGTCGGGGTATGACGAAGCTGAGACTAAGGGGGTCTGAATGTGAGTGGTCTGAGGATGAGTGGGTCTGAGTACGAGTCACTCTGAATATCAGGAGATCTGAGTGTGTGCGAGGTCAGAGTTTGCGCAATCTGGGTATGTGTGAGTCTGAGTGGGGGAGAATCTGAGTATCAGTGAGTCTGTCAGTGAGTCTGGGTCTGAGTGTGTGTCTGAGTGTCAGTGAGTTGGGTGAGTCTGTCAGGGCGTCTAAGTGTGAGCAAGGAGAAGGAGGATGAGGAGGAGGAGCAGGAGGAGGAGCAGGAGGAGGAGCAGGAGGAGGAGGACGAGGCGGGAGGAGGTAGTGGGAGGCGGAGGTATCGCGCGAAAAGCGAGCGCCCCATCCCACGACGGAGCCGGACGTGCTCCTGCACTCCCTTGGCCCCCTGGCCCTCCCCCCCTGCCCTCCTCCTCCTACTCTACTCCTGCTCCTCCTCGGCATCCCTCTTACCTCCGATCTTCCTTTCATTCTGGTACCCTTCCCTCTCCTCCTCCTCCTCCTCCTCCTCCTCCTCCTCCCTCGTCCTCCTCCTCCTCCTCCTCCTCCTTGATGGTTTCCTCTCCTCCTCCCCCCCCCGCCCTCACCTCGGGAAGCGCGCGCTGCTGCCCAGCACGGCGGCGCACCCCTTGGCCTAAGGTCGAGGGCGCCGCCGAGGGGCGCCCTTAGGCGCGCGCGCGGCGCACAGGGGGGAGGGGCCGGGCGCCAATGGCCGCGCCACCGCCCCCCCCCCCCCCCCCAGCGCACTCTCCGCCCGGTGCCGCGGCCCTGCGCCCGCCGAGCGCCCGGTCGGGTGTTGCTAGAAGTACCCCTGGCCCAATTGTACCCCCAGGATTCTCGGGGTGGCCCAGACGGCCTCCAGGGCACCCTTCACGAGGCCCAGAGGGCCCCAGGGGCTGAAAAATGCAGCGAAAAGCTGGGGGCACTTTGGGCCAGGGGCACTTGTAGCAACACCCGACCCGGGAGTCCGGGGGAAGGGGCGCCCAGGCTCAAGTCGGGCCTGTTCCTCTACAGGAGGAAAACATGCAGAAAAAGGCAAAACATAGTTTGGGGATGATTTGCAAGTTTGTTATTATTGGTGATGTTTTTCCCCCATTTCTTTTCAAACGGTAAAAGAAACCACATTCGTCCCAAATCTCCCTGTATAGGAGGACGTGCCCGACCTAAGCCCAGGCCGCAGGAAGAGGCGCCCGACCCTGAGCTCCGACGTAGCGAAAGCATTGCCGCATCGCGAAAAAGACCACGCCCGGAGCCCAGGACCCCATCTTCCTGCGCCCTTTTGTCCGAGCCGGCCCGCTCTGTGAGGGCCCCCCGGGGCCCGCAGCGGGCGAGGGCGCCCAGCGTTATACGTGAAGCCATGGCGCCGCGCCGGGGTCTCCCCGGGGAGGCGCGGCCGCGCCCGCGGACACAGACGGCGAGCGCGGCAGCTGCGCCGCGCTGCCAGGCCGCGGGGCCCGCCCGGACTCCCCCGGGCGCTCCGCGGGCGCCGGGCGGGGCCCACAGGAGGGCCGCCACGGCGCTGCTCGAGCTGCTCCCCCGGCACAGGTCTCCATGAGGTCTCCAGAGGCTCCCCTGCGCAAGAGCACGAGGATGCAAAGAGGCCTTCGATCCTCGGGCCTCGAGGATCCAGCGAGGCTCGTGCTGGTCCCTCTCCCCTCGCTTCCGCTCGCCAGCCTGCGGAATTTGCCAGTGTACTCGAGGTCTTCTCTCGGGACCCAGGAGCGTCGGCGAGCATCCCGCGCGCCGGCGAAGAAAAAAGAAACCGCGTTTCGCATGCTCATCAGTGCTCTTAAGTCGTCGTCGTAGGCGCATTCGTGTCCTGTGTTTTTCCCAACCCTCCTGTGGTGTTGGGTCATCGTTTTGAAGAGAGCGCCCCGCGTCCTTGCCTCTCCTTCCCTCCTCCCTCCTCCTTCCTCCCTCCCTCCTCCCATCCTTGCCTCCGCCCTCCGCGCGTCCATTTCGGCACGCGTCTGACGCGTTTCGTGGCCCAACAGGGAGC